TATGTATGTATATATATATATATATATATATATATATATATATATATATGTGTATATATATGTGTATATATATGTGTATATATATGTATATATATTTTTTTTTTTGTAAAAAAATGGTTGGACTTACGTTTTAAATTCTACATAACCGTCTTCCATGCAAGTGACTCCCGCGCAAGGGTGATCGGGAGCTTTGCCAGTTTGACCGGGTGACATAACAGTGTTTGCGTCCAAAGTACATTTACCAGGATAAGCTATATTTTCATGTGTTTAGTTTTTTTTTTTTTTCCTTTTCTTTTTTCTGGTAAAATATATTTAAACACTTACTTGGGTTGAAAAACCTGGCGCGGGCAATAGCGGCCTGACTGCTAACAAACAAACCACATAAAACAGCAACAAACACTACTAGAAATAGTTTCATTTTCTTTTATTTTTTTTTATTTTATTTGCTTTCGCTTTCAAAATAAACTTAACTTGAATGTCAATTCGGCTTTAAGCACTGTGAAGTTTCAGATGCGACTGTTTATCAGTAGACAGTCGATGCTTAATTTTATATTTAGCTAAACAAAGATCTTTAAGCTGCGATTATCATGAAGAGGTTCTACAAGCTAACAAAAAAAAAAAAAAAAAATTAAAAAAATAAAATAAATAAGTAAAAAAATAAAAAACATTTTTTTTTTTTTTTTTTTTTTTTTTTTTTTTTTTTACTTTATTTTAGTGGTTTTGCAAGTTCAAGTTCACACACATGTAGGAATAAATCGGACTTTTATTAAAGTTTAATGATCACATTTTGCTTTTTTTGTTTATTTATTTATTTATTTTTTTTTTTTTCTTTAAACACTTAATCTTTGTTTTATGTATAATTTCTCAAAGATATTTCTTTTTACCGGTTCTTGTTTTTGTCTCTAAGGAAGTAAAGTTTATTTATTGTTTACGGAAACTAGGCTTTTATCATAAAATTTATCGCTTATATAGTGATATCATCTCTGAGTTATGAGTTCTGAATCGATTTATTTCCTACTAGAGAAATTGATTAAATTATTATTGATTAATAAAAGATTGAATTATAAGCAAATGTGGCGCTTATATTTCACATTATATGTAAGAATTTAATAAAATTTAAAAAAGAAAAAGTGAAAGAAAAATAAAAAAAGCAAAACTAGTTTCATTTAATAAAAATCGAACATAAGTATTATTTCTCAATATCGGGATAGCGAAGTATATTAAATTAAGCATTGCCTATGTAACCCTATGTAGCTATAAAAAAGTTTTGATGCACTCCTAATATCATACTTTGCCAATTATCGATCGAGTCTTTCTTTTCTTTTTTTTTTTTTAATGGAAAAAACCCCCCAGATTAGGTAATTGGTGTATGAATTTAGAAATGCGGAAAGGAAACAAAGAACAGGCAGCAAGTGAGTAAAGTTGAAGATGCAAGGTTGTGTTACGGAAATCCGAAATCCAGTTTATTCCAATTAATTGATATTCCCAGAAAATAAATTTCCGAGAGAGGGAAAAACCAAGTGCAAATGCCGGCGGGAAAACGGATTAAAGATGAAGCGATGAACTTGGGTAATAGTAAAATGGTTGTAAAAGTGTATATAAACAGAATACTTTCGGAAGGCACAGTCAGTTGGAAAAGAACATTGAAGTCGAAGAGAAAGTTTCAGTTAAGAATGCTCTCAAACTGAGTAAAATGTAAATAATCCTACCCTTAAAGAAATTGATTGTAAATAAAACCACGGCCTTGTGATACCAACCGTATCGAGAAAAGCAGAATTTTGTGGAAGGTGTTTAAGATGATAATAGCGATAGAACGCGGATGCTTTTAAGATATTGAAGTACACTTTTGGTTGATCTTCATTAACTTTAAGCGGAAATTCATCCTCTCTATATCAATATTAGTTTTACTTTTTACAATACGATCGTATTGGAAATATTTTTCCTTCTTATGCTGAGAAATTAGAATGATTCCGCCAAATCTTCACTAAACATCGCATAGGCACACTTGGATCGCTATAGTTTGGAGAAGGATAGTCACTATATATTTAAAAATAAGTCGAAAGTCGTTCAATGGCCTCAAGGCTAGCTTTCTCCTGCTTTATTTACGGAAAATATTTTTCTACACATGCCTTGTCCTAAAGACATTATATGCTTCTATAAGATTCTTCAAGACATCGCATAATGCTTTCGTCATATTCTTACCTCCTCGGGCGTTTTCATTAATAATTAATTGTTGTAATTAGTTTAGCTAGAGAAAGAAATTCTTGAACTAATGTCTTAAAGCACTAGCGTCTAAGGCTATCCCGGCTTTATTGAAAACTCTACCGCACTTGAGATTTGAAGCCACAACGATTGTATTATGTGCAAAAAATCGAAATAATTTTGCGTTTTTTGCTTGAATAATGTAAAAAAGGCTTAAGATATTTTTTCGATTTGTTTTTTGAATACATACTTTTTTACTTTCGTTATTTGGTTTTTTTTTTATGTGAACGAATTTGATTGAAGTAATCCCAGCTGCCTATTGATTGACTGTAAAAAACTAGATAATGTGTCTCGGGCATTAATTGCTTTAGGCAACAACAACAAAACTAACGGGTATCAAACTGGTCGGTTTAAGCTTAATAAAGATATTCTTTGCTTATAATATATGTATATTTGTTTAAAATTTTTTTAATGTGGAACATGAAAAGTCGTCAACCCCATAAAGTTCGATAAAACTGTTTCTAATCAAATTTTACAAAAATATAATTTATTGAATTGAATTGAATCGCGTGAATTTCATTGACTTGTTTCAGTCGGTATTAAATATTCTATCGATTGGAAGAAAAAAAAAAAGGAAAAATATACAAAAGTTTTTGCTTTTTTTTTTATAACATTTTTGGCTTTTTCTAAAATCTAATATGAGTTGATTTTCACAAAGTTTTCATTTGTACGCCATCGAAGATAAAAGCATTTCTTCTTTTTTTACTTTAGTCGATTATAAGATTGCGTTGAAGACAAAGGTTATAAAAAAGGCTGGTCGTCTGCATACATTACGATAAAATTGAACGGTCAGCAGCCATCTAAGACAGTGATGTAACATACGTAACCAAAGGGGACAACTTGACCCTAGGCGTGTTCATCTTGAATCAACCTTTTGCTGGGTTTCGCTACCTTACAAAGTGCATGTAGCCGAATGATTTTTTTTTCTAGTTACAAAAACAAAAGTCTTTCAAGCTTTATGAACCCTATTACCGAAGCGTTTCAAACAGTCAAGCTAAGTGAGATTAGTATAGATATGCATGCAGGCTTTATCTCGTTAAACGTTATGTGTAATGGAATGGGATGGAATTACGTTAATAATGGGTGAATTTCACGACAAGTCACAGAGCAACTTCATGAATATATGGCGTGGTTATATAAACGGGTAAAGTGCACGCCATTGAAATGCAAGTGATTGCTCTAATCTATATTAACCTACGTGTAAGCAATAAAAGTTACAGTTAAAAGATTGTTTGCGGCATTCCCTTATTTTTCTTTTCTTCATTTCGGTTTGTTTCTTTGTTCTTGCTTCTGTCTTTTTTCGCTTTGTATCTGGGGTCTTCATTTGTGTTGTGTCATCATTGTTTGTTTCGTATTTTTCATTTCTCTTTTGTCTCCCCTTATTCATTTTCTCTCTCCTTCCCTTCTCTCCCTTTCTTTTGCTTTGTTTTCGGTTATTATTTTTCTTTTCCTTTGTTTTCCTTTTCTTTGCCTTTATTTTGTTTTCTTTATTCTATTCTCCTCTTTTTTTCCTTATTTCTTTTCTTTTATTTTTTTCTTTATTCCTTTATTTTCTTTTCTTTTCTCTTTTCTTCTCTTCGCTTGTTGTCTTTTCTTTTTTCTACTCTCTTGTCGTCTTTTATTTTATTTTCTCTTGTGGTTTCTTCCCTTTTCTTTTCTCTTTATTTATTTTCATTTCTCTTACATTCCTTTCGCTTCTCTTTGCATCTCTATCTTCTCTCCTATTCATTTTGTTTCTCTCTTCTTAATGAATTAACGAATTTCAATTTTTTATTAAATATTTATTACATAATCATTTTTTATATATTTTACCTTTTTTTTTTGTTTTTGATAATAATATTTATTTAATATAATTTTATTTTTATTACTTGCTTTTGGTAAATATTATATAATTTTTACCAGTATATTCTTCACTTACTTTTAATTAATTAATTTTTTTTTTTTAATTTACTTCATATTACTTTTATTTTGAATTTTTTTTTTTTTTTTTGTTAATACAATTCGTGTATATAGCGCTATTTTTTGTAAATAATTTTTAAAAATTAAAAAAAAAAAACAATAATAGAAAAATTACAATTTTCTACTGTTAAAAAAAATTAATTAATTCGTTTCCATTTATCTCGTAATAAAATATTTAAAAACTTATAACAGTTGAGTACTTATTACATGATTACGAAATAAATTTGTGTTTATAGGTTATGTTAAGTTTCTCTTTTGGTTTTTTTTTTCCTTCTTTTTTAAACTCTTATTATTCATTTATTTGTTTTTTGTTTTTGCTGTAAAATTTTTTACTTAATTTGTAAATATTTTTTTTAACTTAATTCTGTTTTTTTTCTTCCTTTTTTTGTATTTTAACAAATTTTTTTTTTATTAAACGTAAAATGTTAAACAACAATATAATCGGTTTTTAGGTAAATTTATCTTAAATTATTTCCATATTTTTATATATATATATATATTCTTTTTTTTTCTTCTTTTCGTTTATAATCATACCATCAATTTCTCTTCTATACAATTTTGGGGGAAAAGTATGGTTTACGGAATGAAGGATTTTGGATGGGAGTGAGGTTGGCGTCTGGGTAAGAGGAGGGATGTGGTTTTTCTCGTTTATTTATTTATTTCCTTTTCTCATTTGTTTTCTTAAAATTTTCTCTAATAGGTTTGTGTGTTCAGTTACTAGTTAAAGACGAGGATGTGTTAGTAATGCTGTTTTTTTTATGTGTAAATAAATGCTTTTTCTTCATCTTTTTACTCTAATTTCCAATTTCTTTATACAAATTTTTTGAACTTAGGTTAAATGATAGGTTTCCTTTCGTTTTTTTTTTTTTTTATTTTTGCTAATTATTTAACAAAAGTGCTCTTAAAAAATTATTTAATATTAATTTTATTTATGCTGTATATTTTATTATGAAATTTATTAAATGTGCTTTTAACACATATGAAAAAAGAAGCTCAATTCGAAACGGACATGAAGAAGCAAGCTGAAGCGTTAAGCCGAGACTCGAATTGTTATTACATAATTTTGTTGCGATTTATTCGATTCTCTGCTTCAAGGATATAACATTTAAAGCGTGGAACATCACTTGGGACTTTTTATATTGTATGAATTTAAGATTTTCTCAACTTTATCTTTAAAGAGGAGCGTATTTTTATTATTGATTGTTTCAACCGTGAAGTGCACTGATGCACTTCATCTTGTTTCCAAGAAGAAGTTAGAGAATAATTTTTCTCTTCCATGCCAGGCACATTGTTAGGCTTAAGAGTTTATACAAATAAATAAATGTCCTGTAGAATTCAGAAAGCATATCTGATTATCTGGCGGCAGCAATATTGTTGC